TATGAGTTATGAAGTCCAGGACTTTCTGCCAAGTATGGACAAGAGCAGGAGAGGGTGGTGCCAGGCACGGCTTCAGAGGGACCAGAAGCAGCCTGGGGGGGTTCTGGATCTTGGGTCTGGTGGGTGGGGAGCCTGGGCCCAGCCCCGCTGAAACTGGGACACCCCTCTTGGGTGGGCCCTCTCAGTCTCCCCAGGCTGGTGCAAAGGCCAGCCAACACTCCCTATGCATGCCCCCTTGGCTGTAGGCCTCACCATCCTGGACTTTCTTCAGGAAAACTTCCAAGGCTCCTCCTGGCTCATGGCCATTCTGTGTAGCGTGCGCACTTAGAGGAGCCCTGGTGGGCCAGGGGCTGTGTGCTCAGGCTGCCAACCAGAAGGCCGGCAGTTCAAACCCACTAGCTGCTCCGTGGGAGCGAGATGAGGCAGCCTGCTCTCATTGAGAGCAGAATCTTGGAACCCCTGTAGGTGGTTTACTCTGCCCTACCGACTTGCTGTGAGCAAGCCTGGGCTCGTGGGGGATGGGGATTCAGCATAACCCCAGTGAGCAGGCAGACCCAGATGCAATAGGGCGTGTCTGGGGCTCCTATCCCCTCCCGGCAAGCACTCACAGTGAGAGCAACAGAGCCCAGCAGGAGAACCACTGAGTAGACCAGTCCCCGGCTGTTGATCTTCACCTGCAAAGACAAACACACGTACCCTGACCCTCCCGCCTGCTTGGCACCCACCTCTCCTGACAGGCACCCACAGCACCCACCTTCCCCCAAACCGGAGCATCTACTGGCGGTCTTAGAGGTCAGGACAGGTGTGGAGTCAAGGGCTGACTCTGCTGAGCTCAGCCTGCTCTTGGCCAAGGATAGGCACAGGGACCCTAAAGAATTTGGCTGGTCTTGGTCCCCAGTTCCTCGGAGGTAACCTCTGTTGTTAGGCAAGGTTGAGTGAGTTCAAACTCCCAGGGACCCCATGTTCAACTGAGCAAAACACAGCCTGGTCTTGCTGCGTCAGCCACACATCTCCCCTGAGGAATGCCTGAGTGGTTTGAGCATCTTGCTATCCACGGGGGTCTCAGGCAAAGGGGGAGCCTCAGGATGGGGAGGCTGGCCAGGCCAGCGAGACTGGCCATAAGATGAGAGGGTTGGGGCTTCAAGTTCGTGGTATCAGCCCCAGCCCCGGGGAGAAGAGCCGGAGACTGAGTTCACCCAGGTGGCCAATGATTGAACCCAGTGTGCCCATGGAATAAAAGCACTACCCAAACTCTGGGCAGGGCAGGGGAGCTTCCTGGGTTGGCAGTACCCCTTGCACCTGCTGGCCACACATCAAGTCTGGGATGGTTGACACGTGTCTCTGAGACACAGAAGCTCCAAGTCTGAAACCTGCCCCAATTCCCGAATCCACTCCCGTGTCTCCTTTGGCGAGCCTCCGCCCAGCCCTTTGCTATAACGAGGCTGTCATCAAGGAGGAGCTTTTCTGAGTTCTAGGAGCCCAGTGACATGGGGGTTATGCATTGGGCTGTGGTCTGCAAGGCCTGCGGTTCAAATCCACCAGCTGCTCCTGGAGAGGAAGCCAGGGCTTCCTAGTCCTGAGAAAAGTTAGTCTGGGAAACTCACAGGGGCAGTTCTACCCTGTCTGAGGGGATCCCTGTTAGTTGGCAGGGAGCTTTGTTGGATGAGTTCTAGCAAATAATCAAACCCGGAGGAGCCACAGGGATCCCCACAGTTACTACCAGCCAGTCAGAAGTGGTCCAGGCACCCCCACCTCGATGTCTGAATCATCACCCCAAGTCTGGCCCAGCAATCACAGGCTCCCACCTGCCACACACCCTACCTGGGCTGCTCAGGAGGAGTGTGAGGAACCTGAGTGCCAGGTGTTGGGGAGCAGTGACCTGGACCAACCCCACCGCCATCCGAGGTGCACACCTGGCAGCGGCCCATTTGCGTACTCACCGTGGACCCGTACTTAATAACCATGGTCTGCAGGCCCCACGGGATGCCCAGCCCTACGAGGATGTCGAACACATTGCTTCCTATGGTGTTGGAGACCGCCATGTCCCCTAGGCCTGGAGGGGAGGAGAACAGACATGTGTCCCTCACCAGGAGCAAGGACCCGAGAGCTTGCCCCGACGGAGCCACCTGGGCTCCTCCTGGGAAGGGAGCCCTTTCTTGGTGGGCCGCACACGTTCGATACCTTTTTCTGAGGTCTGAGATGCTTTTGTGGGAGGAGGATGAAACTTGCTCTTCCCGTGAAGAAGAGTTTTAGTCTTGGAAACGCACAGGGACAGCTCTACCCTTTCCTACAGGGTCGCTACGAGACAGCATCGACTCGATGTAGTGGGGTGTTCTATTTATTTATTTTTCAAGATGCATTTGAGAGGTCTCTAGGTGGTAGCCATGACTAAGCACTGGGTCATTCACCAAAAGATTGAGGGTTTGAGCCTCTGGTGGCCTTGTGGTTACACACTGGCTGCTAACCTCACGGTCAGCAGTTCAAATCCACCAGGCGCTCCTCCGGAGCAAGAGGGAGATTTCTACTCCTATAAATTGCTGCAGTGGCGGAAACTCACCAGGGCAGTTCTGCTCTGCTCTCTGGGGTCACTCGGAGTTGGGATTGGTCGAGTCGAGGGCAGGGAGTGTGTTTGATTTCACGGTTTCAGGAGGTGCATCGGAAGAAAGCGCAGGAGACCTCCTTCTAAAAGGTGACCACCATGACACCGAAACCTTGGTGTCACCGGGAATCGGAATCCACTTGACGGCAACTAGCGACTCCGTGGGAGACAGACAGTGCTTCCCAAAGAGTGACGGTCTCGGAAACTCGCAGGGCACTTCTGCCCTGTCCTATAGGGTCGCTGTAAGTCGGCATCGCGGGGTTTGGTTTTTGACAGCAACGTGTTTTTGGTTGTGAAGATCTACTTCCTTAGTGAAGTTGCAGGGGGAACTTTCCTGATTTCTGCCAGGCTCGTCGCTGGCCTCTCTGCAGACCCACTGTGTGATCCGCATTCCCCTCTCCCAGCAATGCCGGGCGAGAGACAACCATTAGATGATGAGAATGTCGAGCCTTGCAGAGTGCCCAAGACTGCAAGACCTTGGCAGAGTATGCGTGTCAGTGAGTCTGTCTCAGGCTGCCTGTGTGGCACCCACCACGAGCACAGTGTGACCCGATCACTGCCTTGATGACCTGGCTGAGCTTGGGTTCTCAAAGGCTGCCCTCCCTTCCCCCAGGCAGGCCAGAAGCGTCATAGAAGCCAGGGGCCTGTCTGTCAGCTTCCCTCCAGCCCCTCCCAGCGGTCCAGCCACAGGCTAGCCCACACAATTGGGGAACTTAATAGCTTGAGGGTATCCTAAGTCAGAATGCCAAGTTTTACAGCCAAATGTCACCACTTAGCCTGAATCTGACACCTGGCATGTCGACAGATGCTTGTCCAATGAACAAGCTGATAAGAAAGAGCCAGTAACTGGGAAGTGGCTTTGATGACCAGACAGCTTAGCGGCAATTCACCGCCGCAGAGGGACAGGCGGCACAGGTGGCAGGCCTGTGTTTGATCACCTCCGTGCAAGGAGAAAGGCAGGGCTTTCTACCCGTAAAGGGTTAACAGGCTCGGAAACTCACAGGGCCAGCTCTACTCTGTCCTATTGGGTCACTATGAGTGGCCATTGACTCCATGGCAGCGAGTTTGGTTTTGGGTTTTGCAGGTGAGAGCCAGCCAGCCAGACCCAAGCCCTCCCTGTCCTCCTCTGGCCTCACTGCTGCCCCCTGCTGCCCCCTAGGCACACATCCTTCCCTCCAGGATCTCCTGTGGTTTCCCCTTAGTCCCTGGCAGCGTGAGAGGGTGAGAGGCGACTTCAGTCCCTGACACTGCGGCATCTCACTGGTCTGGACCAGGAGCTACTTGCACCTCCACACGTTTCAGTGGAACTTCCCGATGAAGCCGGACTAGTAAGAAGGCCTGGTGATCTCCAATAATTCTTATGCCTTCAGGGGCCGCTCTTTCTCATAGCCCTCC